ATATATTCTATATTATATTCTTAATTTAATTTATTTTCTTTATTTAAGAATATATTATTAATTTAAGAATATAGTCTTTTTTGTGATAGTGAGATATATATGTTTTTCTATAAGCCTATAGAGGCTTTTTATGTTCTAATCAGTATATATTCTTATCAATATTACTATTTAGAGGATTTTCCTCTTATAATAAGAAACTCTTTTTGACACCTATTTTAGTATAAAATATACTTAAATTAAGTGGGATATCCTCAAAACAAGAATACAATTTTTTCGGTGAAGTTACTGTCGCATTTGGAATATAATAAATTCCGAACTCTCAAACAACGCGTGCAATCGTGTAACAGAATGAAAAAAAATACCAAAGTTGAGACAGTTCCTAAAACTAAAAAAAAAAATTAAAAGAAAAACTTGAAAAAAAAAAAAAAAAAAAAAAACAGCTGAACCGACCCTGAGATTCTTGCGAGCCGACGAAAGAAAAACCGCGCGCGAGAGAGAGAGAGAGAATAGCTATGCTGTTAAGAAGACGCGCGGAAGGGAAAAGAGAAGCACGAGCGGCTGTGGCGCGGCTTCCCGCGAGAAGGGTAGCGGAAGAATGGGATGGACAATAAAGAGTGGTTGAGAACCGAGGAACGCAATCAGAGACGTGCCGTATCTTTCGTTGGCATCTCGCTAAGCCGTGTCATAGAGTAACGCTTACTGATATTTTAGTGTGCGTTGATATTTCTTAAATCAATCCGATGGCGGACGTAACTACTTCTTATCTGCATTGCGACAATAAATTCGAGCGTATTGTTGATAGCAATATTATTCAAAGACATGTAAAATCAATTTTTTTTATGTAAAAATAAAAGTGAATGTAGCTTCAAGAATTTTTAATAGACAAATTGTATTCTGGCTAACGAAGCAAAACACATTTATTGATGTGTGAATGTTTAAATATGTTTATTAACCTTTAGAGGACCGGAAAACCAATATTTTGGCGCACCAGAATAACTTGTTCAATTTCTTTTTTTTTTTTATTATTAAATATTAATGCTTATATATTGTTTATTTATTAATATTAATGTTTATATATTGGCGCTACCCATGATCGACACTTAGTGTCAATCGATGGTCAATCGATGATATAAGATACCTTTTTTACCGCTTTACTAAGGCGGATATGCCCTCTCACATCCCGGCCCTCTAAAAGTTAAAACTGAGTCGCGTTTATCCTATTGTAAAGTGTTGGTCGGGCCTGCTTGTGCGATATGGACGATCAGCACTGTGCGACGTACATTACCAAAGTAATTTAAATGCATTTGATAAGGACTTAATACAAGGTCGAAAAAGCGTTTATGCCACTAAGTTTTTAATAAACATATTTAAACATTCACACATCAATAACTGTGTTTTGCTTTGATAGCCAGAATACATTTGTCTATTTTTTTTAACGTAATAAAATACGACAATGTTTTTTAAGTTACAAATTGTGGAGTCTTGAAACAAATATACACACACACGTTGTATCACATGTGGATTACAAAACACTTTGTCGGTTAAATTTCGCGTTAGTTTTCGATCATTCGTAACGATCCCGCGAATGTGCAGCCGGTTGAACGTTCTCGTCAACAGTAAATTTTACAACCCCCAATAAATTTTATGTCGTTGCCGTGACGATGATTGCATCATATTGCCTCGTCCGATGGACGTGAATGATAACAGGACGATAAATGGTAATGCGCTACGCGCGCCGCTTGTAATCCTATCGTCTGTTCCAAGTGTGGATAAAACTTCCAATTTAGTTGATGGAAATCGAATAATCACGTGTGCGGAAGAGATAAGAAATTACAGAAAAGTATTATGTCGAAAGAAAAAAGTGAGAATGTAAATTCCGTTTTTAACCTTTAGAGGACCGGGATTTGAGAGGGCATATCCGCCTTAGTAAAGTGGTAAAAAAGGTATCTTATATCATGGATTGTGACCATACACTAAGTGTCGATCATGGGTAGCGCCAATATATAAACATTAATATTAATAAATAAACAATATATAAACATTAATATTTAATAAAAAAAAAAAGAAATTGAACAAGTTATTCTGGTGCGCCAAAATATTGG